CCAAGATATCTTGTTTAAATATCCATTTGACTAGGATTTGGCGTTATTTGAAACGCTCAGTTTTTGCAGCGAGCTTTTCCTGTTAGGGCCTGCGAGATACCCGCGGAAACACATATCTCTTCAGCATTGCGCGCCACACAGGAATGCGGCTGATTCACGTGCTTTTGTGAGCGAGGTGCTTCCCTCCGGGAGAAATTCGCCGTCCCCATATGCTTAACACAGAGCCGAGCGGCGGCTGACAGGTGGCCGGCTCTCGGGAGATCGGCAGCCGACACTCGAAAAATCGACAACCCGCCGCTGAATGCGCGTGCGGCAGTGCTGAGCCGAGTCGTTCCCACGGTCTGAGGTACCCCCAGTTTGAAGATTCGGCCTTAGAATATGTAGTTTTAAATACGTAGTTTGACGTACATCTCGGAAAAGTGAGATACGGCCAGAAATGAGTGTGGGTCCCTCCGTTCTGAAGATTCTGATCGACGCCGATTGAAATAATTCGCCGTGCATATCTCGGCTTATTGACGACCGATTGACACGGGATAAACACCGATCGATACCAAATGGCTCTGTGTGTGTGTGGGGGGGGGAGGGGGTAGAGTGGCAAGTTTTCCTACCCGACGAACCCGGAATTATCCCGAGGGGGTAGGTGTGGGAGTAGAGTCGGGGGAACGGGGGGGGGGGGGGGGCGAGTGCAAGTACCAAGTACTTTCGCAAGTACCAAGCAAGTACCAAGTACTTTTACAAGTACCAAGCAAGTACCAAGTACTTATGCAAATACCAAGCAAGTACCAAGTACTTTGGCAAATACCGAGTACTTATGCAAATACCAAGCAAGTACCAAGTACTTTGGCAAGTACCGAGTACTTTGGCAAGTACCAAGCAAGTACCAAGTACTTTTGCAAGTTCAACAAGTTTTTCGTGAATATCTAAGCTTCTAGACGTCCGATTAACACGGGACGAACACCAATCGATCCCAAATTTTCTCCCTCATACTTTGATTGCCAAAGCGACGCGGAGCGAGCCAAGATATCTTGTTTAAATATCCATTTGAGTAGGATTGCGGGTTTTTTGAAGCGCTGAGTTTTTGCAGCGAGCTTTTCCTGTTAGGGCCTGCGAGATACCCGCGGAAACACATATCTCTTCAGCATTGCGCGCCACACAGGAATGCGGCTGATTCACGTGACAAACTCGATGGCGGTCCCTCCGTTCCGGAGAAAAATTACCGGCCGACGGCTGGAAAATTCCACCGGCCGGCCCGGCGCCGGTGTGCAATGTGCATGTACATATGATAAGCGTAACGCATTTATAAATCGTGAAATCGTCTTTTTTTTCTCAATACACGATGCTGCCGAGATACACGAGCGCTTTATGCCGATCATCTCCCGTCTGCAACTTCCGTGACGGGCCGTCTGCTCGGCCGCGGCGCCGGCGTCCGCCCGTACTAGATCGGCCGGTTTTCGTCACCGGACGAGCCCGGACTCGCCAAAAATTCAGGTAAGTTGGGGCCGACAGAGGGTGGAATTGATTGAGGGACGATCGAAAAACATGATACAAATAATAGGTAAAACATTTTGCAAGTAGGACTCGAAAATCTCTAATCGTACGATTTCCGTCAGAACCGGGTTCGACAAATGTTTGCTCCAGCTGCGGAGAGCAAACTGCGTCACTATAGTTACATACCATAATACGATAGAGGGACTGCAAAGTAAGACATAGTTTAGCTCTAAAAAAGTAGAAAAATATGGCAAGCATTTCTGTGTAACAAAGTATTCATGAACTCCTTCAAATAGGCATTTCTTTTAATACGCTTAATATTCATCACTAAATCGGCCGTTGTGTTTGGACCGAGGTGAGCTTGGTGGTGGATGCGTCACAATGATTTAGATAAAACATTTTGAATTTGGAGGGTGTTAAGATTACATATGAATGCCAATTGACCTTGAGAGCTGTTGTTAATTACTGGGATGATTTTTCAAAGGTGGTTTTGGTGCATAAAGGCTTATTTATTACGAAAAATGCAAGTGGCGCGGCTAACGTGGCGCGTGCATGATTGCCTTTAATTGAAGTGATTTATCCTAATATTTTGCCTCATGAAACAATTTGAAGCAAAAGTTTAGTTTTTGCCAGTTTTTATTAGTCTGCTGCTTAAAACATTTTGAACTTTTTTAATATGGTGATGGTGAAACGTGATGTTAGGAACTTGAAAAGCAGTTACCTAGCAGGTTAAAGCCGCCCTCTGAACCCGGGGCTCTAAATGTGCATAAAACCAACAGAACAGGTGTGGCGTCAGCAGAAATGCAAAAGCTGAACCCTTCCCTTCTAATATGACCTTGCCATTCCCAATGTAACTAAGCCTTATTTGGCCCAGCGGATGGTCAGGTGAGTCATAAATATTTTTTTTAAAATAAAAAGTATTGTGAGTATCAATGCGTGATGTTATTTTCCAATCTTAGAAGGATGTTTTCATATTTTATTGCCTGAATTCATTCAGTTTCTGCTTTGCAAAGGGTGGAAAAGGTAGTTGGAGCTGCAGCGCTCAGCTAACTGCATGATTTACTTCAAAGTACAAAGATAGGGCTGCCTGCTCCTTTTTTGGCACATTTGTTCAAAAATTTCCTGTTAGACAGGAGACATTTAAAGCCGCCCTCTGAACCCAGGGCTCTAAATGTGCATAAAACCAACAGAACAGGTGTGGCGTCAGCAGAAATGCAAAAGCTGAACCCTTCCCTTCTAATATGACCTTGCCATTCCCAATGTAACTAAGCCTTATTTGGCCCAGCGTATGGTCAGGTGAGTCATAAATATTTTTTTTAAATAAAAAGTATTGTGAGTATCAATGCGTGATGTTATTTTCCAATCTTAGAAGGATGTTTTCATATTTTATTGCCTGAATTCATTCAGTTTGTGCTTTGCAAAGGGTGGAAAAGGTAGTTGGAGCTGCAGCGCTCAGCTAACTGCATGATTTACTTCAAAGTACAAAGATAGGGCTGCCTGTTCTTTTTTTGGCACATTTGTGCAAAAATTTCCTGTTAGACAGGAGACATTTTGGTTCTCTCCAGTCAGTCATCAGTTGCTATAGAAGCTGGACCTAATTTAAATTTGCAGAACGTAACCTGTCTTGACCAAATCTGACCTAACATAACTCAACCTTACCTTGCTCGGGGTGGTGGTTTGGTACATAAAATGTTTGTGTAAAATGTATTGTGAGTTTTGATGTGTGGTGTCACTTTTGGAACTTGGAGGATGAGTTTTTTTTCTTTTCTCTCTTAAATTACTGAATTTCTTCAGTGTTTGGAGGTTGCATAAGGCAGTGATAGCAGGAAAAACATGACATTTTCGATCTATATGTCAGTGTGTGACTGCATCCGTCATTGAAACGTAGGTTGCACAGTAGATGTTCTCTAGGGGCTAGGTGCTAGATGTGAGTTGTTGGCTATTTTTCTACCTTTATTACATCTGTAAACAGTGTTGATATAGCAACAGCTGCAATCAGCTGTCAGCTGATTGCATAATGTTCTTGAAAGAGCGAAGTTAGGACCACCTGTTGTTTTTCGACTCGACTCAACTAATTTTGAATTTTAACTATTTAAACTGGGATGAGTCATGTGGTAGTAGCGCCTGATTGATTTGGTTAAATGCTTTGAATGTAAATGAAAGGCTTAAAAATAACATTCTAATAAAGAATTGATATATCATTGCAAAGGTGGCTGCTATGGTGCTAAATTATTGCTTGAATTTGAAATTCATCTCTGTGTTTGAACTCAGGCTAGCAGCATTGTGGTAGTGCGCCAGACTGTTATAACTAAATACTTAAATCTGTAATTAAAATTATAAAATTATTATAATCTAACATAAAGAACTGACGCTGGCAGATGGATTGTGTTTGGTGTTTGTCTATTGATAAGACAGTATTACCCATGTGCCCTCTCCTAGCAGATTCTGATTGTAATCCCGTAGTGCCTGATTGATTTGGTTAAATGCTTTGAGTTTAAATGAAAAGCTTAAAAAATATTATTCTAACAAAGATTGATAATGGCAGAGGTGTGGTAAAAAATAATATTCTAACAAAAAATTGATAATGGCAGAGGCGTGGTAGTTGTGGATTGCAGGCACTAATGTGATCTTGAAAAAGATATCGGTCAGCAGGACCGACCGACCGACCGACCGACCGACCGACCGACCGACCGACCGACCGACCGACCGACCGACCGACCGACCGACCGACCGACCGACCGACCGACCGACCGACCCGACCCGACCCGACCCGACCCGACCCGACCCGACCCGACCCGACCCGACCCGACCCGACCCGACCCGACCCGACCCGACCCGACCCGACCCGACCCGACCCGACCCGACCCGACCCGACCCGACCCGACCCGACCCGACCCGACCCGACCCGACCCGACCCGACCCGACCCGACCCGACCCGACCCGACCCGACCCGACCCGACCCGACCCGAATTTTGAATTTTAACCATTTGAACTGGGGTGAGTCATGTGGTAGTAGTGCCTGATGGATTTGGTTAAATGCTTTGAATGGCTACAGTGTGGGCGGCAGTTCGACCCGAGGCAGGCCAGCACTGCAGCTGTGGAGCCGACATGGGGTCGCCGTGTGGTTAGAGAAGCGATCGAAATTCGAGTGTGCAATCCGTCTTTAAACCAGGGCGTGGGTAAATTCTCGCTTAGCCCCATATGGGACAGTGCTCTAAAACAGTAGTTTTTCTTTGGAAGAGGAAGTGTACCTATTGGCTATGTTTTACATATGAGAATAGGCAAGTTGTGCGTCACGTGCTGGATATTTAGAAATTTGATTGATGTGTTGCGAAAAATGGCTACCTGATTTTTGTCTGTTTTAAACCTATGTGTGCCCATCGAACGGGACCAATAATAACTTTTACCCACTATCCAGTGAAAGTCCGTTAAAACAATTTCAAACAGTATTACCCTTTTGCCTCCTCCTAGCAGATTCCGATTGTAATCCCGTTCCTTTGTTCCATTTCCAGAATTGCTCGCAATGTCGGGTCAAACACCTCCGCCAACGTCGCCGAGTCGCCCGACCGCCGCCGACCCTCCGGGGCCAGCGCCGGAGACGGTGGCACGGCGCGCTGACGGTCTGATGGTCGATGGCGATGCAGCTGAACCCGCAAACGGTCAACGTAACGGTCAGTCCGTAGATCCGACGGTGAACGCCGCGGCCGCGAGACGGGCGCGTGATCGCGAGCGTCGTCGCCTCGCCCGAGAGCGAGAAACTGAGGCTGAGCGACTTCTTCGCCTGCAACGTAAACGTGAAGGCCAGGCTCTGGCGCGCGCTAGACAAAGAGATCAGACAGGTGGCGCGGGCCCTTCCCATCAGGCGGTAGTCGATGCAGTGCCGGTTCCCGGTCCATCGGGGGCCCAGCCGCCGGTCATCCTTGCCGCGGATATCGCTGCCGCGCGACGCGAGCGTGACCGGGAGCGTCATCGACTTAGGAGGGAGCGTGAATCGGAGGCTGAGCTCGCCGAGCGTCAGCGACGCAATCGTGAGAGAATGGCTACGGCTCGCACTAAGGTCAGGACAGGGAGAGACGGCGCAGGTCTTGAGCCACCTGTTGCTGCTGGTGTGGCGGATCAGCCGATCGCACCACCGACTGCGTTTGAACCGCCGGTGGTGGGCGGTGTCGCGGACGTCGCGCCCGGCGCGGAGGCAGTGGGCGGCGCTGTAGGAGAGGTGGCAACGCACTCGCCCGATGGTGCTGTAGATGCTGTCGAGGCGACAGTAGCCGATGCGCCAGACGACGCAGCGGCGCGCCGGCCCGCGGCCGATGCGCCCGACGCGGAGGCAGTGGGCGGCGCTGTAGGAGAGGAGGCGCCCCACACGCCCGATGGTGCTGTAGACGCTGTCGAGGTGGCAGCGGTCGATGCGCTAGACGGCGCAGCGGCGCGCCGGCCCGCGGCCGATGCGCCCGACGCGGAGGCAGTGGGCGGCGCTGTAGGAGAGGAGGCGCCCCACACGCCCGATGATGCTGTAGACGCTGTGGAGGTGGCAGCGGTCGATGCGCTAGACGGCGCAGCGGCGCGCCGGCCCGCGGCCGATGCGCCCGACGCGGAGGCAGTGGGCGGCGCTGTAGGAGAGGAGGCGCCCCACACGCCCGATGATGCTGTAGACGCTGTGGAGGCGGCAGCGGTCGATGCGCCAGACGGCGCAGCGGCCCGCCAGCCCGCGGCCGATGCGCACGACGCGGAGGCAGTGGGGGGCGCTGATGGACAGGCTCCGGTGGACGCGCCCGCCCGTCGTCGAGGCGACCAGCACCTGCTGGCTCGCAATTATGTCCCCGCCGAGTTCGAGCCGCCGGCTGGCATGCAGCTGGGCCGAATGGACACCGTCTGTGCCCATTGTGGAGCGCTGCGCTGGCGTGCCGAGCCCGCAGGCGCCTGTTGCCATCAGGGCAAGGTGCAGCTTGACTTCCATCCCCCGCCGCCGGACGAGATGGTGGAGCTGATGACCCCCGGCACGGCGTTCTATGACGAGTTTCGGGGCAAAATTCGCGCTTACAACACGGCCTTCCAGCTGGCCAGTATGGGGTGCAACGTCGTCCGACACGACGGGGCGTATCACGCGGCTTTCACCGTTCAGGGTAGCGTGTGTCATCGTATGGGATCTCTACTGCCCGCTCGCGGCGGCGAGGAGCAGTTCATGCAGGTGTATTTCCTCGACGCAGACGAGGCCACCGCGCGACGTGCCACCATGTGTGGCGGCCTCGACAGAGCCGTTCTCGACATCCTTTTGGGCATGCTGCACGAGCACAACAACTACGTGCGTGCGCTCCAGCCGGCTCTGCTGATGGCGCGCGGTGTGCCGAACTGCCGGATCGTGTTGTCGGCCGAACACCGGCCGCTGTCGGAGCACGAGCGCCGGTTCAATCTACCGATCGGTCGCGAAGTGGCGGTCCTGATGCCCAATGAGATGGGGGGCCGGCGCGACATCGTCGTTCGCGAGCGCGGCGGACAACTGTTCCGCATCGACGAACTGAGCCGCCAGTACGACCCGCTGCTCTATGTGCTGCTGCACCCGCGCGGCACGGACGGGTGGTCGCTCGAGCTGAAGGCCGAGCGCGGCGTCACAATCCGTCAGTATGGTGCGTTCCACATGCGCTTCCGACCGGGTCATTTCAATCTCATTCCGCGAGGGGGCCGGCTGTTTCAACAGTACCTGGTGGACACTGAGGCAAAAGCTGAGTCGAGTCGTCTGTCGTATGTGCGCGCGAACCAGGACGGCTTCAACGGCTTCCGCGCCGAGACCATCCGCGGCGTGCGAGACGCGCTGGCTGACGGCGAGGAGCACGGCCGAGCCGTCGGACGGCGCGTGGTGCTGCCGGCATCCGTAACGAGTAGTCCGCGCTTCATGATGGCCAAACTACAAGACGCTCTCTGCTACGTTCGAGACTTTGGCGCCGCCGACTTTTTCATCACCGTGACGTGCAACCCGGCCTGGCCAGAGATTGAGCAAACTCTGCGCACCCTCTACCCGGGAGAGAGGCCGGGCGACTACGATCGGCCGTGCGACCACCCTGACGTTGTCAGTCAGGTGTTTTGACCTCAAGCTGCAGGCGCTGCTGAAGCAGCTGCGGGGCGGCATCCTGGGTCGACAGCGGGCCATTCTGCACACGATTGAGTGGCAGAAGCGTGGCCTGCCGCACGCTCACCTTCTGCTGTGGGTCGTGCCCGCCGACAAACCTCGCGCCGAAGACGTGGACACGTGCGTGTGCGCTGAGCTGCCAGATCCCGAGACCGATCCGGAACTGCACGCGATCGTCTGCACCAAGATGGTGCATGGTCCGTGCGGCGCGCTGAACCCGCAGGCGGTCTGCATGAAGGACGGCCGCTGTAGCGTCGGCTATCCGCGCCCGTATCTGGAGGCCACAGAGCTGCCAGAGCGCAGCTATCCCAAGTACAGGCGGCGCGCGCCGGAGGACGGCGGTCAACGTGCGCGGACGCCCGGACGGCGCGGTGTGGAAATCGACAACCGCTGGATCGTTCCCTACAATCCGCACATCCTTCGCGCGCTGGACTCACACGTCAACGTCGAGCTGATCACGCACGCGATGGGAGCGATCCGCTACTGCATCAAGTACGTCACCAAGGGCTCGGATAGGATCATGTTCGCCGTGCAGCCCGACGGCGTGGTTGACGAGGTGACCCAGTATCAGAACAGCCGGTACCTGGATCCATGGAGGCAGCGTGGCGGCTGCTCGACCGACCAGTCCACGTCCATCATCCGCCGGTCCAGCGGCTGCAGCTGCATCTCGGTGACGACGAGAGACGTGTCGTGTTCCGCGGCGACGAAAACCTGGAAGCGGTCATCGCGGGCGAGCAGGCTAATCCATCCATGCTCACAGCCTTCTTTGAGCTGTGCCAGCGTGACGCGTTCGCGGCGACACTCCTCTACCCAGAGGTGCCGCGATACTACACGTGGCAGGTGCGACGCGGCCGGGCGCAGACGCCCGTCCGGCCCACTGGAAACGCCGCGTCCGTGGCCAGCCTCACCCCGAGGTGCCGGGCGTGGTTGCCTCTGAGACTCTGTCGCGCGTGTACACCACGACGCCGCGCGCGGGCGAAGTTTTCTTTCTTCGCCTGCTCCTTCACAGCGTCCGAGGTCCGCGCTCTTACGAGCACCTCCGCACGGTCGATGGCCGCGTGTGTGCCACCATGCGCGAGGCGTGCTCCGCACTGGGGCTGCTCGAGGACGGAGCGCACTGGGCGCGCGCACTGGAGGAGGCGAGTGTGACGCGCTTTGCAGGTGGTTTGCGTTTCCTCTTCGCTCTGATTCTGATCGAGGGAGAGGCTACGTGCGATCCCATGGCGCTGTGGATGAGGTTCGCGGACGCCCTGTCCGAGGACATCGCTCGCCGTCAGCGCACCGCTCGCGCGGCTGGCAGACGTGGTCTCACCGAGGACGAAGTGCGCCAGCAGGCGCTGCGGAAGATCGCTGGCATTCTCCGCCGGCTGCGCGGCAGATCTCTGGCGGAGTACGGACTGCCGGTGCCGCCGGTGCCGGACGCCGCCGCCGCCGCCGATGGCGACGACGACGAGCCGCCCGGCGGTCCCGAGTACGACCCGGCCGCTCTGGCCGATCGCGTTGAGCGCGACGAGCCGCGTCTGACGGATGACCAGCGCGCCGTCTATGACGAGGTGCTGCGACGGCTGGACAATGACGAGTCGGGTGTCATCTTCCTGCAAGCTCCAGGCGGCTGCGGGAAGACGTTCTTGGAGAACCTGCTGCTGGCCAAGGTGCGCAGCCGGGGACACGTGGCAGTTGCAGTGGCCACATCCGGCATCGCAGCCAGCCTGTTGGAGGGCGGCACGACTGCCCATCATCGGTTCAAGATCCCTCTGCAGCTGCATCCTGACAACGAGAACGTCTGCGGCATTGATCGCCGCTCTCCCGAGGCCGACTACCTTCGCCGCTGTCGCCTCATTGTATGGGACGAAGCGGCCATGACGAACCGGCGCGCCACTGAGGCGGTCGACCGGGCTCTCCAAGACGTCCGCGACAGGCAAGAGCTGTTTGGCGGCGTTCTGACGCTGCTCTCTGGCGACTGGAGACAGATCCTGCCAGTGGTGAAGCGCGGCGGGCGCGCAGAGGTTGTTGACGCCTGCCTCAAGTCATCGCCCATGTGGCCTCGGATCGACACCATGGAGCTCGCGACCAACATGCGGGCGTTGAACGGCGACGATCAGGCCGGTGAGTTCGCCAACTTCCTGCTGCGCGTCGGCGACGGCCGGCTGCCCGTCGTGGCACAGCCGGACTCGGTGCAGGTGCCCGAGTTGGTGGTCAGTCCGGCGCGCAGTCTCGCCGCCTTGGTCGATCGCATTTTCCCTGACATGGCCGGGCGACACCGTGATGAAGAGTGGCTGCATGAGCGCGCCATCCTCTCGCCGCTAAATGCGACCGTTGACAGGGCGAATGAGGCCGCGCTGGCCCTTCTGCCCGGCGAAACAGTCACGTACGCTAGCGTCGACACCATCAGTGACGACGACAACGAGGATCACGGGCCTCCGGTGCCCACCGAGGTGCTCAACGCGATCGACGTGTCGGGCATGCCGTCGCATCGACTTCAGGTCAAGGTCGGCGCCCCGGTCGTGTTGATGCGCAACCTCGACGCTCCGCGCGTCGTGAACGGCACGCTGTGCACGGTGCTGCGCGCCGCGCCCAACGTGCTCGAGCTGCGAATCGCCAGTGGAGTCGCGCGTGGCGAGACGCTGTTTTTGCCGCGCCTCCCTCTGGTGGTGAGCGCTGTCGATTCCGGCATCGGCCGACCATTCCGCCGCTGTCAGTTCCCCGTCAAGCTGTCATTCGCCATGACCATCAATCGCTGCCAAGGGCAGACTAAGCGACGCGTGGGCATATATCTGCCATCCCCGGCCTTCACTCATGGCCAGTTCTACGTGGCTCTCTCGCGCGTAGGCAGCTTTGATTCAGTCGAGGTGCTTTCCACGCACAACCATCGGACGCGGAATGTCGTATACAGAGAGGTTCTGTGAGGTGCGCGCGCCAGGATCGGGCGTCATACGGGTGCGTTATGGGGCGTTATCTTAGTTCGGTTGTCGAGCGACGATCGGATGTACCCCGCGTTGTGCCGTCCTTCACCCAATTGCTATGACGTTGAGCCCGGAGTGGCCGGAGGAAGCCCTTGCTCCTTGAGTGGGAGGGCCACTCTGTCTGTCCGGGTGGTCAATGTCGACGGCCAACTGTAGGCTGCGGCCAATCGTATTGGGCGTTAGGAAGCGGGTGCGTCATCGGCCGTAATCTTAAACGTTATCGGAAGTATAGTCAGGCGGCGGCGTCCAAGAGCGGTCAGATACTCCTGTGGTCAGTCGTGTGGTACGGCTGGTGGTCCGTGTGCTGGGATTTTTTAGTCTGGAAATGTTAGCGCGTCGCTGTTGGTTGTGAGACCCCCTTTCAGACGTGTGAACGTCTGAAGTCCGTTTCGTGTGATCGATCGGACACTTCACCCCTTGATAGGGGGAGTCTAAACCGCTGCGGGGCGAGTCTTACGTCTGAGCGTGTCAGTGAGTGAGTCCGTGTGCGAATGTGTGCGTGACTGTAACTGTGTCAACTGTCAGGTGTGACGGTTGTTAGGCGCGTCGCTGTCGGTTGTGAGACCCCCTTTCAGACGTGTGAACGTCTGAAGTCCGTGTCGTGTGATCGATCGGACACTTCACCCCTTGATAGGGGGAGTCTAAACCGCTGCGGGGCGAGTCTTACGTCGGGGGGTGCCAGTGAGTGAGTGCGTGGCTGCATCTGCATCCTGTGCTTAACCCTTTCGGTGCTGTGGGTATTTGGAGTGGTGAATGATTGCGCGTGAGTGAGTGTATGCCGGTACGCGCTGACGTAACGGGCCCTTAACCGTTATACTAAAAGTTTGACATCGTTAACGTAAGTTCATCAGGAGGCTGACATTGACATTTCAGTGTGCTTAACTCATTTCATTGTGCTTAAATCATATTTCAAAGTTACTTTAAAAACGTGTTAAGGGCGGGGTGCGCGCTCGGAGCACTTCCACGACAGTGCACCCTGGTAACAGGCTGTGTTCAGTGTGCGGAGCCGACCTTGATGTTCCCTATAAAACCTTCAATCTATCCATCACCTCGGCACGGCGACCCTGAACTATGCCTGGCTAAGACTCCGAGCCTTTTGACTTCCTTATGCCGTGTCCCTGACTACATTTCTCGCCACCATGCAGTTAACCAGCAGGGCCGCCAGTCATCGACACCGGCTGCCGCCAGCAGCCGCAGCTGACGCCAACAAACCCCGGATCCGATAAGCTCTGCCAGGCAATCGGACCAGACCAGTCCAGCTAATCCCAGCAAGTCATTCTGACTGTGTCTAATCCGGTCAGTGTGTCGCCTAATGCCGCTTTGACACTTTGCTTACTTCTGTTTCCTAATCGGCCTTCCTATTGTGTATCGCCATAGCAGCACGCTACATTTACACTACTTCTACTTCACTGCTCTTTTTCTCCTACTGAGCATGCTGCCTACACAGGGCGGTTTTTGTAGCGTAGCTTAGCACGCCAGCATTACCGCTGTCAACCTTCTGAATTCATGTCAGAATGATTCGCCATGTCAACTACTGTGACCTGTCCCCTGGCCCAGTTAGGTAAATCGCTGCTGCTAGATTTCACATAAACATTCACTGCTCGAATTGGCTAATCCCGTCGTTTGGCTGCTGCAAATCTCCTGTGGCCCAATCATGCGCGCGGAGCAAGCAAGTCACCTAGTAAATATACTATTTGACTAGGATTTGGCGTTATTTGAAACGTCAGTTTTTGCAGCGAGCTTTTCCTGTTAGGGCTGCGAGATACCCGCGGAAACACATATCTCTTCAACATTGCGCGCCACACAGGAATGCGGCTGATTCACGTGCTTTTGTGAGCGAGGTGCTTCCCTCCGGGAGAAATTCGCCGTCCCCATATGCTTAACACGGAGCCGAGCGGCGGCTGACAGGTGGCCGGCTCTCGGGAGATCGGCAGCCGACACTCGAAAAATCGACAAGCCGCCGCTGAATGCGCGTGCGGCAGTGCTGAGCCGAGTCGTTCCCACGGTCTGAGGTACCCCCAGTTTGAAGATTCGGCTGTAGAATATGTAGTTTTAAATACGTAGTTTGACGTACATCTCGGAAAAGTGAGATACGGCCAGAAATGAGTGTGGGTCCCTCCGTTCTGAAGATTCTGATCGACGCCGATTGAAATAATTCGCCGTGCATATCTCGGCTTATTGACGACCGATTGACACGGGATCAACACCGATCGATACCAAATGGCTCTGTGGGGGGGGGGGGGGGGGGTGGTAGTGGCAAGTTTTCCTACCCGACGAACCCGGAATTATCCCGAGGGGGTAGGTGTGGGAGTAGAGTCGGGGGAACGGGGGGGCGAGTGCAAGTACCAAGTACTTTCGCAAGTACCAAGCAAGTACCAAGTACTTTTACAAGTACCAAGCAAGTACCAAGTACTTATGGAAATACCAAGCAAGTACCAAGTACTTTGGCAAATACCGAGTACTTATGCAAATACCAAGCGAGTACCAAGTACTTTGGCAAGTACCGAGTACTTTGGCAAGTACCAAGCAAGTACCAAGTACTTTTGCAAGTTCAGCAAGTTTTTCGCCAATATCGAAGCTTCTAGACGTCCGATCGTCACCGGAAAACACCATTCGATCCCAAATTTCTCCCGAATCTTTTTATGGCCAAAGCGACGCGGAGCGAGCCAAGATATCTTGTCTAAGGCTAGTTGAAAAGGGCATAGTTGATGCGGTATATACCAGTATGTTCAATAAGTAAGTTCCGTTTTGATATAACTCTTTTATTTTCTGGCACATCTCAACCAAACATGGCTCACGGCTCGACGAACTCGCCCTGCAGGCGAACGCATCGGTCTCATAGTTTGGCCAGGTCCCGGATGGCCGCACGGAAGGTTTGAGTGAGGGTCTTTTCGCCATACTGGTAAAAAGCAGACCCGAGTGCAGACCGCGAGCCGAACCTCCGGCCCCGGAGATTTTTCTTCATGACTGCGAACAGTCAATAGTCATTGCGTGCAACGTGTGGAGAGTAGGGATGGTGTTAGAGCACCTCGATGCCCTCTGCCTGCAGGGCATCCCTCGCCACGAGGGCACGGTGAAGAGGCGCGCAATCCTGGAGGAGGATGAACCGACCACGGGCCTTCTCGGGGCGGCAACTGACGATTACTGGCAGAGATGGTCTCTGACTCTCTAATGATCCTGGCGTAGGCTTATGTTTAGGCTTTCTTTTATCGCCTGGACAGTAATCTTTCTGTTGGCCATCACCATCTCCTCCACTTTGGCGATGTCAGTGACTGTGACCATCGTCCTCAGCCTTCCTGCATGTGCCAGGTCGCGCACGCTCTCCCTCCCCTCCCCAAACTTTCTTCCGCTTCCGAACTGCGGAATCACTAAGAGCATGGCTCCCGTACACATTCACGAAGTTGGCGTGGATGTTAGCCGCCGGCTAGCCCTGGATAGCTACGAATCGTATCACTGAACGTTGATCCTCTCGGGTGGCCGATGCCATTTCTAAAGCAGTCTAAAAAATGGTGTTATTTGATCTGCTCCATATCGTCACAGAAATGGAAGAAGAAGCTGAAAATGCGGTCACTTCGACATTAAGGTCTGAATTCTAATCCCTGAAAAAATCACGTGCGTAGACCGCGTGAATTTTAGTAATTGCTCTCCGGAACTTACTTATTGAACGCACCTAGCTTTGGTTGATACTAAGATGGAAGGATTCACTAAAGGACGTGATGTAGACTGCAGAGTTTGCTAATGTAATAATTGAATGAGGACTTTACTCCACCAGAAATCGTTCGGGTCGGAGCTTTCGAATTGTATTACAAAGATGGAAGGAATCTGTGGAAGGCAGAAATGGTGCAGCTGTTTCATTCTTAAAACGTGTTCGCAAGCAGGATTTACGTGACGCTAGCGACATCTATCAATGTAAGCCGGGACGCTGATTGGCTGATTTGAGTCCGTGAGCAGTATCAGTAATTTACGCCAGCACAGGGTTGAGGCAATATGCGCATGCGCAGGAACTTCTCATGGAGGAGCTTTTGTTACATCGGACAGCGCTCAATCTTTTTCAACAATTTTAGAAACACCCGACGGCTAACTCGGGAATCAATAGAGCGCCTTGAATAGAGCTACAGCGCGGCCAGGTGGGTGACGGCACGTGATCGCCTGAGGCGGTGGGGGGTAAAAATATTTTCGTCATTTAATGCTCAATGCAATCGCTGCGACTTTTTACAAGACCTTCGTCTCGTCGTTGTTCCTTGTTTTCAACGACTGGTCCCCGAGTGATGACTATCCTCACGCAAGATAGAATGAATGGAGCTAGCAATTAAGTCCAAAAAACATCGAAAATGTTACAAAACACTTCTTTTGAAGGAGATGAATTGAATGGTGTTGGAGCCTCACGAAACATGTTTCAGATATACGGTCGTCAAGTTGATGTAAGTGAATCCTAATCTATAATCTAAGATTCGGAATCAGGTGAGCCCCTACGATTTGGACCAAACTTGGTCAGTGGATAGTACGTAACGTCCTGATTACGATGCACCCAAGATCTAAGCTCGGCCCGCCATATTTACGAAGTTACGGATGTTTGAATTTCAAGGTCATTTGGGTGAGCCCCTACGATTTCCGTCAAAATTGGTATACGGACATATTACATCTCCTCTCATACAAATATCATAAAAGCTAAGCTCGGCCCGCCATAT